TACAAAATGTTTATTTAAAGAGCGTTGATTAATTGCAAATTTTTTCTGAAATATTCCTTGTTTTTGAGAAATAATTAATAATTTTTTGTTTGTACATTTCATTTTCAGACGTTTGGTACAATTTCGAAAAATTCATTTATCATCCCTGGCAACAGCATAACTGCTTACATAGACTATTATGTTTTGTCCTCTTTTGTCGTTTGGTAATTCCTCCCAGATGAGCGGCCACGCTTGACTGGACAGCGCAATAATTTTTATGCGTTCACCTGGCACAGGTCTCCAGATTATCGGAGCAGTACAGGAAATGAGCTGCGCAGAGCAGAGCTGGGCGAGTACGTTGGCCGACCACCTGGACGTTAGTTGTTAGTAAAGAGTAAAGTTCTGCTTTTTATGAATCATAAAACTCTTGTTATCTTAATTATTTCTGCGCACTGGCATATTTTATGTCCGTTATTTTCTTTTTTTTTCTTTTTTTCAGCTTTTCTCTCTCGTTCAGCCATCTGGTTACGCTTGGGCGCAAATTTACAACCTATGCCAGCCCTCTTGTCAGTTTTGATACCTTATACACACCAAAGGTTGAATGCGAGAAAGAAACATTTTTTGTTGCCGGCGAAGGTGAAATACCTAGGTATGTGTGTGCAAGGTTACTTTTACTCTTTCCCACTTTTAATGTATCACTTGGGAGTACTTTAATTAGATATGATTATTTATCTGTTGTTGCCATTGCCTGTAGTTGAAGGCGGTTCAAATACATATTTCAAATAATAAATTGAAGAAATAAATTATGTTGTGTAAAATATAAATTTCTCCTTCAGCAAATTAACTCAAAACTCGGTATTTGCTAAAAAGTCATTCTAGTCCAGGTAATTGGAAAAAGAAGAAAAAAAAATAAAAATAATTATTACTTATTGATATGCTATGGGAATTACTAAGCCTATTTTTTCCATTCGGATGTTTTGATTCGCCACGCATTTTAAGTTCACTCTGAAATTCCCGCAAAGCTAGATCTCTTAATAGTAGAGACAAAGCTTTCTCTAATTTATGAGAATGCGAACAGGTAAATGAAAAATCGAAATCTAGGTAAATTCTATCCTGCATGTATGTACGTAGTTATTGTAATTATATTTTATATCAATATACATACACACACAGATATAAGTTCGTCATTTTCTAAGCTAACCTATGTATGCACATAAGGGTGATCCAAAAATGCATGTGAAAAAGTAAGAAAGTCGGAATTTTTACGCTCTCACCCCCTAAGATTGTTCTATACCGAAAAAAATATTCCCCTTATTTATTTATTTTGAAATCAACAAATAATTAGAGGTCGCTCAAAGCGCCCAAAGTTTTCTGTGTACCTTATATGGGAAATAAATAAATTTTCGTGGAAATGGTATAGAATAGTTAAAAATCAATATTTTTCTACCAGAAAACCTGTTTATCTACAGGAGATTCCCAATAATAATACCCAATTGTTTATTTAGCCATTTGTTCATCGCAACTATAATTTATTTAAAGGTCCGCCGAAAACCCCCAAAAACCCCGAAAAATAAAAATGGGGCGACCAATAAAAAATCGTTATCTAGTATTAAAAAATGGTTAAGGGTTTTCCCACCGAAAAATATTGATTTCTAAGAATTCTATACCATTTCTTTGAAAAATTTAATTTTTCCCATATAAAAATATATGAAAAACTTTGAGCGCTTTTAGCGACCTCTAACAATTTTTTGATTTCAAAATAAAAAAATAGGGGTATACTTTTCTTCGATATAGAACAATCGTAGGGGGTAAGAGCATTACAATTCCGACTTTACTGTTACTTTACTATTAAAGTGTCAAAGCACTTGGTATAGTCATAACTTATTACGATGACAATAATTTTATATAACATACAGTAGTATATAATATTTATAACAACATAATTTATTTGATTTTATAATATAAATGGAATTCAAATAAATAGTGTACGTTATTTGATCGCATCTCCCAATTTTTATTGATGGAGTTAATCAATTTGTGCACTGAACGGCTCATATGTAGGTCAAAGAAATGCAATCCTGGAGGCAGCACACGTTGGATTTTTTTTTGCATATATGATAAGCTATTACTGTGCTACATGCTTATTTCTTTTTATAACAGTGCCAAGCGACACGATATTATGATAATTTTCGTGAAATATTTATTCAGTTACCATAAGTCCACAAAAAAACTGTTTAAGAAAAAGACAAGAACGGGATTCGTTTTGCTAGAACATATTTAGGTCAGCGAGTACGGATATGCAGTTCGTTCGTTTAGAACGGCTCTTGATTGCGAATAACAGCGAATTGTGCAAAAATTTTTCTTACTAAAGTTTTGATGCGTTTTCAATTTCAATTAAATAAATAACTTAAAAATAGTAGTGCGATGAATTGTTCTAAGGTCACAATCGGTATCGCCGAAGCCGATTAGAGAGCATTATTTTCCAGTTTCATATTCCTTCAAAGGATCTCCCGAGGACTTTAAAAGTAAAGTGTATGCAACCCAGTAAATTTGGGTATCTAGTAGGAAAAAAACTAGCGATGGATCGGGGTTTTTCATAGATCTTTGACAAATAGTATTCCATCGTTAAGTAGTTTTTACCAAGTTTAAAAAATCCAATATTACAATTTTATAACTCATCGTGTTTCGTCCTTCAAAAATTAAAAATGGAGCACATGCGGGCAAATTATCTTTTACTGGACTTTTGCAAGAATTGGTAAATCTGACTTTTGATCGGTTTTTCTGCATAAATACTCCTATGTGCAGCGTGTAAAGAAAAACGCTTGCATTTTTCTTAGTTGGAAAGTGTGAAAATGCTTAAACTTAGAATAAAATATAAGAAATCCGGATTTGATCATCCGGGTGGGTTATGGTTAATTACGTACGTGGTAATCCTAGGGTAAGGCGGCGCATTCCGAGATTTTTATATTTAAGGTGCTTAGGGCACTCGACGATTTCTATCTGTATTTGTTCAAAATCTGTGGCAAAGATTTACAGATTTTTAAAGTTTTCCTAAGCACCACATGTGCCGTTATTTATTTACTAAAAAGTCTTGTATGAGAGTTTATCTTCCTGAGTGCGTTTAACATAAGCGGATCAAGGTTGTTGACGTAATTTCACCCCAAGGAAAGAAAATCATTTTTGTTTTGTGTTTGTTGCTACACAAATTTTATGAGCCTGCTTATCGGGTTTTGCGTTTGTCTGTAGCTCACTTGCTTGCTTTATTTACTTTCAGAAACAATTTTACATATCTTTTTATCTTGCATAGTATGAGTAGCTTATATCTACAAGTTATCGACATAGAATATGTATAGGAATTCGCTTGCAGAGTGTACAGCGTAACTTCATAGCCCAATGGATAAAACACAAGTATGTGGAGATACTTAAACAATAGTAAAATGTACAAAAGGTATTTTGAACCTAGTTTGTTCGATTTTCTACCGTGGGAAAGTGAGAAAATTAAATAGGTACTGTCAAAACATTTATTTTTATCATTTTTACCTCACTTTGATTAGCTTGAGTTATAACTATGTAATATTGGTGCGCCTAAAAGACGCAGCTGTTTCTATTATCAAACACTGTTGCTAACTTGATGCTTTTCGCACTAAATTTAGTGCTTTTCTTTATTCAAAACGCCAAAGTTTTAGAGTTTAGCGGTTAGTACGGTTTTTTGTGCTCTTCTTTGTTGTTTGAAGACACCAAATCTGGGAATCTTAACAAAGGAGACGGGAAAAGATTCCGTCACGTACAGACTTTGAGGAAATCGTGGTCAAAGTGTCAAAAAATCGGGCTTTTTTCAATATTTGAGAAGCTCTAGTAAAGAGTAAAAATGTGGTAGAACCTTCCACTTAGGCTTAGCTTAAGGCTAGAATCCTAGGCTACTGTTCCTGCCAATACCATTCCTGCACCTTGACTTGATGGCCATTTATAAACAGGTATAATAGTAGTTTTTTAGTTAACGTATCATGAAGAAAACATTTTTCTATTAATTAGAAGTGATTTATGCAAAAAATCACCCACAATTTTATTTTTTTTTTGAGTTGATCGCACGTTACATTTAGGTGTGCGATATGTTTACTAAAAAATATGTATCAGCCCTCGCTTGAACGAAAATATTTGAATTTATAGAAAATATAATAAATTAGTGCTTTTTCAAATTAAAACTTGGCCACACTGGAATTAAGTAACATACCTTATGACAGTACGAATGAGCATTGCTTTAAATTTAAATTTTAAAGTTACCTGATGACAGTACGAATGAAAATCAAAAGAATGATTTCGCGTGTTATTCTATTCGTTATAATATCTAGTTTTAAAATCAATTGAATATAGGACTAAAGAGATGAAAATAAAATAATAGGTTAAAAAACTCAACCCTCGCTTTTATTAGAATGTGAACTAAAAAGTAAAAAATAATTTATAGAAATACAGATTTCGCTTAAGAGGAATTCATTCCAAGTACGCACACGTATCTATACACTTCCATAACCCAGCAAACATTTGGAGTCACAAATGAGTCTTAAAGGAGTCTGAGTTCTGAGCCTTTATGCTCATAATGAGCCCATTTAAGTGTCCAAAATTAGGTGTTTCCCTTCCTGGGAAGGTCGAGCTGTATGAGCTTAAATTCATACATCAAATGAGCCTCAATATGAATCATATTGGACTCTTATTGGCCTCATATATTTCATCAATTCCTACTTTCTGAGTCTACTTTTATGCAGTTATGTGAGTCTTATTGGCCTTATTTTTCGACTCTTATTGAACTTACTTTAGAGCCATGTTTGCAAGGGCATTCATTTCAAATACTATTGCATGTATACATACCTCTGAGCATACATATATTTATACGTATATTTCTATATTCATGTAGTAGCAGCTGCTGCAGCTAAATTTTGTTTATTTGCTTCCTAATTATTTTTCATATCTGTATAAACAAGTTTATATATAAATTTCGAGTCTTTATTGTTTTTATATTGGCTTACAGTACTGGCTCATAACTTGGAACATTTATGACACCTAAAAGATTCGTATAAGATTAAAAAATGTTTGTTTTTGAAACTCATATTTCTCATATTATGTTCAAATCGGCCCCATTTAACTTGTTAAATGAAGAGCCTTTTGGAAAACACAATCGTCCACAGCGAACATTTGGAGTTAACTTTGACGGTTGTTTGATTACCAATAAAAATTCGAAAAAAAAGATTCAAAATCAAGTATCTGTGTTTCAATTTGTTTTGTGCGAATGTAACGCATACGGATTTCTTAGAGACTTCAAATTGTTTAGTACGTATGCACTATTTATCTCTGCGTACGATGATACCTCATGCGAAATAACTAATTACCGCCTTGGCCTCTTTTTTGCATACAATTTTGATATTTTTTTATATTTTTCAAAGCGTAATTTTTTTGAACGTTGGCGTGTCAAATGAAAGCTTTTGTTTCTTTCTGATTGGCCGGTTTAGAAAGCTTTCTGATACAACTCTGCGCTGAATTGGTTTTCAAACGAGTTAAATGATTTAACTGGTTTAATTTTCCAAGAACAATTGCATGCGATTTAACTTGTTTATGAGCATGTTTTGTTCATTTAACTGGTTTGAGCCCATTTAACATGTTTAGCTCGTCAATTTGAACGTAGCATTACCTACCTGTCCTACGACTCATATACTATTCTGAACGCTCAAAGTATGCTTGCGGGAAAGTAACTATGGAAACATACACATGTGTTGAAAACTGTCAGATTTGTAATATGCATGACAAGTTAGATTGGCTTTTATTGCTTTGATGCGGTCTAGCTTGTTTGCTTGCCTTCAATGAAACTTGGTTTACTTTCTTTTTTTTCACTTTCTTAGACAGCAGCATTGTTTCTGACACAGGTAACCTACATAAAGTGGTTGGAAGTGATCTTTTATTGCTGCCAGTAAAACGTTATATGTACATATGTACATACTTGCGCAAATGGTTTTTCCAAAGAAAATAGCCTGCAGTTGTTTGAACTATCAGAAGTAAAGCTTCATATCGTCGTTTAAAGTACAAAACCGCGTATCAAGATAATGCAAAACCGCGTATGTGAGGTTGCATTAATTGTTTTCTAGAAAATAAAGGTACTCGTTTTTCAAAATGGTTCTCTTTTTTTATAAAGCATTGGCATTTCTGGGTAGTATATTTCTGGACGAAGGGATAAGTATTGAGCCAAGAGCTTGTGTGAGCAAATTCAATTTTTGGCAGCAAATGTTAGTTACGCGGTTTTGCAGAATGACGTTACGCGGTTTTGTACTTTAAACGACGATATGAGTTTGTAAGCGAATATTTGGCTTAACATTTAAACAAACCTTCCCGGAGAATCAATTTGCTATTACAAAGGAAGTAAAGAAAAATATTTGCATATCTGATTGTTGCTGATTTTAAAACTTGCTTTGCATTTTTTATGGACTTCGCTTAAAACAAAGAGCTAACTAAATGTTTTGATCGCTTCAGTTAAAAATAGCGACCAATTTACCGAAACCTGCCTTTTCACAGTATTGGGAAGTTAGAGAACTGTCTGTTCTTCCTTCTTCATAGTTATTTGAGGTTCTACAGAATCGACGTATATTCTTAAAAAAAATCAAAGAACATTTCTCTTTTATGAATTGGAAAAAGAAAAAATTTGTCCATAGTGGTTGGTTGGTTGAGTGCTGTTTTGAAGCCACTACTCGAAATTTAACCTGAAGAGATAATAGCAGAAGTCGGTTATTTCTCTCAAATCAAGCAGGTGGAGTTCAAGGAGTTAAATGGTTGCAGTTGGATAACATCACTTATGTCTATTAAAACGCATTAGCAGGGTTTGCCTAGAATCCTGCCTCTATCCTACATATAGCCGGGCAATTACAGAGCGGGTGGATGCTCTACCGTTTCTTCTGCATCTGGAGAATTACAGCTAAGACAAGAATTGTTGTGGTTCAGTTGCAGCACGCATTCCCACGGTCCAGTGCCCTGTGTAAACGGCAGTTAGAAGAGAGATATTCCTCCTGTTGAGTTTGATGAGAAATTGAGTGCGTTTGGCGCAATCGGTGGGCCACATACTCCTGCAGTCCCTACAGGATGGGGCCCTTGATATAGCTCAGAGGCACAAGTACATCCTCTGCCTCTGAGACATACAGAGCCAACCCTTTCCTGGCTAGTTCCTCCGCCATCTTATTTTCATGAATTTTGCTTTACCCTCGCATCCAGATTAGTGTAACGACATGCATGTCAGCAAAATCCCTAACGTTCTCTCTGCACTGTTTAATATGCAGGATGTGATGCTTACAGGGCCAAGCGCTTTGGCAGCTGCTTGGCTATCCGAGGAAATAGCATTGCTGGAACTTGCTGTCTTCGAGGCTAAAATAATTTGCAGGTTTCTTTAATGGCAAATACCTCTGAAAACACTGGCCGAACTCGGTAGTCGAATAGACACTTCGATTTGGAGGTCAGTTGAAAAAATTTCCTAACCTACGCCATAATCTATTTTTGAGATGTCCGTAAAATAGATAGATACTTTAAAGTGATCAGTAAAAATAAGTTGTTGAGTTCAAATTTGCATGTTCTTAAATGAAGTTTGTTGGATCT